AAATTTGGAAAAAGGAAATTCTTCCAAATTTTTCTTTGCAAAATAATTAAATATCGAAATTTGGAAAAATTTGGAAAAATTGAGAAAAAGGAAATTCTTCAAAATTTTTTTTTGCAAAATAATTAAATATCGAGAAAATTATCGTGAATTTTTTGAAAATTTGGAAAAAGGAAAATCTTCAAAATTTTTCTTTGCAAAATATCGAGATATTTATCGTGAATTTGTTGAAGATGAAAATTTGGAAATTTTTGAATCGTGTTGAATCAATGCAAATTACATTGAGATTCTTCCAAATTTTTTTTAATTTTCCTTGCAAAATTAACTAAACATCGAATGTTGACTAATTCTAACAAAAAAAAAAAAAATTGTGTTGAAGAATCCTAATTTTTCGTTTTCCTATTAAAAATAAAATCTCAATAAAGATTAAATTTCCCTCAAAATTTTCTCTCGAACCGATTATCGAATGACAATGCAATATGCAATATGCGATTTTTGTTTTTCGATCGCGAGAAAATTTAGCCGAGCAACGAAGAATAACAAATAAATAAATAAATAAATCCGGTTGAATCGGATTGGAAAGAGCTGATAAGGATGAAACGAGCGATTTAAATATTAAAGAAAGTGGCCTTCGAATATTTCCATGCCGAGATCAAAGAGATCGATTTCACGATTGCATCCAATCTGAGAATTCGCTCGCACGTACAAATTGCCCGTATCCGATCAATTTTGGACTCCCCCCTCCCTCTCCAATTATACTGGAAATGTCAACGATCTAAATTCTCGAGCCACATTTTAATTAAATATCGACAGGTTGACTTTGGCCGAGCATTTCGATGGTTAATTCATAGTTTACCAATGTTGCGGGATCGCCATCATCAAAAAGTGACGTGCCATTACCGGTGAAACTGTGTAAACAGTTTAATTTGCAAATTTCCCATGTTATATAAAATTTACTACGTATTGAATTAAATCGTATGTTAGATTTTTTTTTTTTTTGCTATTTAAAATTCGGATGGATTAAATTAATAATATATTAGATACTGTGCATGAAATTTGATTGAATTAGTTTTTATTATTTAGGAAGTTAAGCAGAAAACTCGTCATTAATTCTGATTCTATGCTTTTCAAATTGATTATCATATTCGTAAATCTAAAATTATATTTTCGGAGGAGATATTTTTCAAAACTCTTTTTTTTTTTTCCTCCCATAAGCATTTAAAACATTATTTCACAGAATTTATGAATGTAGATGTACTTGCGAAAATCTATATTATAAAATAAAAAATAAGATTCCACATCTCCGCTTAACTCGACGTGTAAACGTATAAATAGGCAAATCTGCGTTTAAAATATTTAAAAAATCCTCGCCTCACGAAGATAAATAACTCAATTCTTACACGTGAATGCCTCTCGAGATCGATTGCTATCAAAGCGTTCATCGATTCGCCGTGCTAGCAAAAAAAAAAAAAAGTAAGTAAAAAAAGAAGGACGATATAAAGAACGATTTATTCGCATTTTCACGCTGTCATCCTTGAAAACGTTATCTTCGTCGTAGTTCCGTCAAGTTCCTTATCCACGACCGAGTGCAAAAAAGTCGTCGTTGGTCGGTCGATAAATCAAGAAAAACGAGATGTCGACGAAAAATGCGCTTGGACGCTTGGAAAAAATGAAACGAATGGCCACTGACAACTTTGAATCAAATTTTTTTCGCGGTGATACGGCTCATTTCTCACGATTAACCAATTTGGTTTCGTTTTTTATAATCGAAGTATGTGAAATTCGAAAAGAAAGAAAAAAATATTTTTAAAAATGAAAATATATGGAAAGAAGATTAATTATCGATTCTCTTATGTAGATATATTATTATAGGATTCATTAGTTCTTGTTTGATCGATAAAGTTAAGCTTTAAGTTAATATTTGAATGGATAATCACTAATTAAGAACACAACGTTATATTATACATACATTTATAGTAGATGGTTTGAGATATACTACAACAATTGTAGATCGTCTGTTAATGAACAACAGTAATCAATACTGATTAATAATAATCAGAATTCTTACAAGGGATTTTAATATATGAAACATCGTACAACGCAAATTCAATTAAACCGAATTAAAAAATTAAAAAGATTTTAAATCGCTATAACTTGGAAGACAGTTACTTCCAGCCAATAAATGAGAGAACGTTACGAGGGCGGAACTTTATCCTTTAAAACGCATTTTCATTTATCCCGATACGACTTCCGGTTCTCGAGATATCATCCTATGAAGAGAAAGTAATTTTTAACCGTTTGTCTCGAGATCCAGTCATTAAACTCTATTAAAATTAAAAAAAGTTTAAACCGCTGTAACTCTGAAGATAATTATTTCCGATCGATAAATGAGAGATGGTTAGAAGCGTGATACTTTGCTCTTCGAAATGCATTTTCAATTATCCCGATATAATTTCCGGTTCCCGAGATATCGTCGTGTAAAGAAAAAGTAATTTTTACTCGTTTAACATTTCTGTTCTTCGTTCATTCGTTCGCTTGCACTCGTCTCACTGACTTATACCAAATTGTAAACAGATTGCTGGAGGAAGAAACGTAATATCCATTTCCAAAACAAAATAGAGGTCAAATTTGGATCGTGGGATCATGAATGATCAAGATGAACCAAAAATTGATTTCAATGGCATGATTTTTTTCTATATTCTGAATAGATTTTGATGACAAAATTTTTATGAATACATTTATGAATACAATGATTGTTTGAAATAAAATATTTAGAGATTTAAATTTCCTTGTCGAACTTGAGTCGAAAAAAATTTGTCTCAATAGATATCTGTCGATGTATATTATATTATGACAAGATAAGAACATTGGAAATGAAACAGCGAATGAAACGTATTTGCATAATTCTGTAAGCGATGAATGAAGCTGTTTTGACGTAGATATCTAATGAATTATTCAAATTTTGATATCGTGCATAACTAGAATATTGGTATCGGAATACTGTGAATCCGATGGATGTTGGATGAAATTGAATCTCTTGAAGCATATATTAAAATTGAGTCTATCCACTGGTGAATCTATCCATATAATCAACCTTCATAGCTGATAGCTTTATTTTTGTAAATTAATTAATTAAATATATCTATTATCTGTTTATATAAAATTCTGTATTATTATAAAAACTATTATCCTCGATAATGTGATAAAATTATAATGATAACATAAACGAACACGTTTCTTGGCAATATTATTCTACGCGACGAAAGAAATTTCTAAGAGATACAAAATTTTCTTTGAAATCTTGTAAAACGTTTATCACATACACGAGCGAAATAGTATTTTTACTCTAAAAATATATAACAAAAATTACTTTGATAATAGAAATAATACAATTTCGATTCTACATTTTTCGTTTTAATAATTGAAAGATAAGAAAATAATTGTTCTCTCTTTCCTTCGCAAATTCATCTCTCGAAAGATTAAACACACAACTTTCAAAAATCGAAAACAAAACGTTTTTAAAAGACAAAAGGAAAGAATATACGTTCGACCAGAATGTCAAGTTCTTTTCACGTCATCGTTCACTCGATCGAGCTCGAAAGCGCAACCAGGCTCTTCAGATACAAAGGTTTCCTCGTTGATCGACGATATCTCTGTCTCTCTCCGTTACATCCCTTGATCTCATACGCAGGAAACGACAAAATGCGATCAACAATCGATAAGAATCGATTCCACGCGAGTAATCATCGTTCGACCTAATCGTGCCTGTCGTGACATATTTAGGTTAAAGAACCAGTTCAACAACACGAAACAATCGCATACACGGTGTGTCTATGAAATTTTAATAGAGACAATTAAAAATTTACACATGATCTCTTTTCAACTTTGTGTATCTAAATATAGTCGGTGAATTTCTGAATTTTTATATAGAGATTATTTACAAGAATATTCTTTAATTTGCATGTTACATTGAATTGAATATTCTGAATAAAATTCAAATAATAAGAATTTATTCAATCGAATAAGAATATTTAAAATTTTATGGTTAAATTAATTTAGAATAAAATTTGATTATACTTGATTGACAACGGAGATGAAGTTTTGTATAAATTCAAATATTATATATATTATTTATTACTATTCGAAAAAAAGAATCAGAAGATTTTAATTGTGGTCTAATAATCCGATTTACGTTTGATTTTTCAATGTAAATCGGTTAAAGAGGTTAAAAGAACAGTGCAATGCAAATTTTTTGTCTGGCAGAGTGAGCTAATCTATATAATAGTAAATGGTAATACAAATGGTAATAGTCTTGTTACTTAATAATGAAAACGATCGCCACGCCGCCTCATGGAAGCTTTTGAAACGAATGCAAGGAATTGTGATTGTTGGAGGTTAGGCATTGACGATATTTCAACTCGTGATTAACAATAGAATAAAGGTGAAAGTTGAATAGGAAAAGTTGTTATTCTCGAAGGAATCGTCCAGTGTTCAGGTATAATATAATTGTTAAGTATAAACATGATATTAAACAGAAATTGTTGCATTTATTGTGAATATCAATTCTTATTTGCTTATAAAAGTTATTAAAATAATATTCTTGAAGTCGATATATACATAAATATCATTTTGTTCTATAGTTATGAATATTACTTTTGATATTTTTTTTCTATTCAGTTTTGTTATTTAAGAATCATATATTAATTTAAATTTATATTAATTAAATTTCAAAAATTCTATCATTGTGATATTTTATACGAATATGACACATTCATATTTAAATTAACATGGTATACAAAATTTTTTCCCAGGAAGGTGAAATTTATAATACTAGGCTTGTATATATAACATATAACATATAACATCAAACATATAGGAAATTGAAAATTTTTCAATCTCGATACTGTACATAATACTGGATTTGTTTTCGATAATTAAGATTACTTAACCTATGAAACCTATGAAACATCAGATATTAATTTCAATTTTTTTTTCTCTTGCAGAGTTCGTGTCGAATATTACGTGAACGAAAACACATTCAAGGAAAGACTTCAGCTGTATTTCATCAAAAATCAACGTTCGAGTAAGTACATCGAATAATCTTCATATTGAATGCATTGAAACGCGTTTTGATTTATTTCTACAATGTTCGTTCATTCAATTCATGAATAGAAATCAGGATATTGTTATATCTAAATCAAATTATACAAATGAATATTAAATTTTTAAAATAAAATATTGTTCATGTTGATCTAGATTATTTATAAATTCGTATTCAAATATCGATACCAAATATCGTTTCGTACAAATATCACGCGATATATTATGCCGTCATTCGCAAAGATCGCTATTGCAATTCTAAATAGACCTTTCTATTTAACATCAAATTTTGCACGTTCTGTTGTGTGAATTAATAATATTGTAATTCAGGTATGTTTTTCCTAACATAATTCTTAAAATTTAAAATTCGATCGATCATGAACTCGCTTTTCTCAGTGTAGTTTGAAAAATAATTCTGTTTCATCGTTCCTTTTCTCGATAGTGTGAACTTTCATCCAATATCATAGAAATATTATATTAGAAAGATCTATTCGAACTTTTGATCGCGAAAAAGAATTCTGGAAATTCTTCTCGAGAATACACATTGTCCTTTGTATATGAGAAACGTAATTTCGGGAAGGGAGACGGCTACGATGAGACATGTAATCTTCTGAAACCAATGCTATCGTGTCGATACCATGAAAACTCGATTTTACAGATATCGATTATTCGCATCTGTCAACGTGTGCTGGCGAGAGATCGATACTTTGCCGTGTTTCGAACGATTAAAAATGGCTCTTTGTAAATCGTGAATATCGATAAATTTCCAAGCCAGGGCATTCTTCACTTTGTGACAAATTCATTCTACCGATTTTCTCGTAACTATTACCTATCTATCTATCAGTGTTGACGTTCTCTGATAACAAGAGTCGAATAAATTGCGCCAGTTTAAGAGTTAAAATAAAATATTTTCGTGAGAAATTTTATTTTTAATGGTTTTGTAAGATAAAATATATAAAATATATAATAATAACATTGATAATTGATTTGTGCAATTTTAATAGAATAAATTCTTTATTTGTATAACTTAATAATCAGTACTCTTCTTTTTAAACATTTTTAAACAATTAAATTATTGTGGAATGAAACGAAAGTATATAATATCAAAGTTGATATTATATATTTTTTTTTACTAATATACAATTTTTGTAAAATATATTCAAATATGACCGAATAATTTTTTTATATATCTATATTGTATAATTGAAATTTTTTTTTTTTGAATAATTTTTGTTACGATATTTTGTGTTCCAGGTTTGAGGATACGATTGGCTAATCTATTCTTCAAGTTACTAACATGCTTCTTATACATATTCAGAGTCATCACCGACAACGATCCAACTTACGCAGCATGGTAAGAGAAAAGAAATTTGTATATAAATAATTATTTCCTATTTTTATTAAAAAAGAAAAAATAATATTTAAGAAAAAAATTTTTCTTCTCCTTTTACTACTACACAGAAAAATTTCCACGTTGAACTAGATATTTTAAAAAAACTATTTTAAATTCACGAAAAATTATAATATTTCGTAGAACGAGTATCATGGCTAAGAATAAAACGAAGAGATAAGAATTTGCTGGCTGAAACTATATCTCATTCTGCTATCAGGATCCTCTAACAGTCTACTCCTTCGGGATTTCCTCTGAAGCTATGCTCTCCCTATGGATCCTTTCTCCATGTTATTTTGTATCTTTTACGTTCTTTCATGCACAATGTATTTCTATGTTTCTTTTTATTTTTTTTTCTTTCTTTTTTCAGTGCTGTAATTTTCTTTGTAATTATTATTTCTTTATTTTTCTCTTTTTTCACACATATATATATATTATATTTTTAATCATATTTCAATTATGAATGTCTACTAAATAATTATTTTGCAAACAAAATTTTTCTTTTTACGCAGCGTGATGAGTCAATTTATAACAAATAATAATAGAATATTTCTTTTTCTTTGTTTTTTCCATGTTTTGTTTCCAATAAATATGCATCTTGATTCAGCGTATAATAATAAAACGTGGAACATTTCTCTCTTGTTTATCCATCATTTTTAAAAAGTATTAACTATGTTAAAATATCTTAAGAAATTAAATTCGGTCATTCTAATTCTATATACATACAATCAAGTAAATTCATTTCATTTCATTTATATTTAATTTTCAATTTCTCAAAGTTACAATTCCTATATATAGTAACAATATAATTATTCATATGTGATTATTGCTACTCCTTTAATCATCTTTTATCACTACAAATGCTTTCAAAAAATTCTATCTAGAACACTAGCGCATATGCTTTTAAAAAATTTGCTTTAATTTCCAGTTTCCACGAACTTTATCAGCTTTTATCAGGTCACCTATAAGTTATTATCGTTTGGAATATTCCAATTAAAAAGGATTGTTGTTCTTGTTAGTTTTTAAAAGAAAATACAATTATTACAATTTATAATATGAACTTATAATTCATTTATATAAAATAATTAAATGTATAAAAAATTAACAAAATGTATATATATATATATATAATGAAAAGCATAAAATATTCAAAATATAATACTAGTTATATAATATTTTAACAATAAGATAAATTTCTATTTATTACGTATTAAATTCCATTTCTCTAATCAATGTGTTGATACAAAATTTATTTTGCATGAATATCTTCTACAGACTTTAGAATAATCTAATAAAATTAAAAATAGGAGATATTTATTTATTCTTTTTTTTTTTTTTATTTTCAGTTACGGTTGCACACCAGGCAACAAGACCGAGTTCCTCGTGTCACAAAATTTAACGGAAGAAGAGTTCCAGGAACATCCGACCATCAATTGGGACGCGATCTTATGGGTGAGAAGGCCTTTGGAATTGTGGGTCGTCCAGGTGATCCTGGCAATAGTGTCTCTTACGGAAGCGCTGCTACTCGCTTATCTGGGTTACAAGGTACGCATCTTTTCGTTTATAGATCGTTTCGTATGTGATATTCGATAAATGTTACTCGAAAATATCTCGTTTCGCTATTGTCGCACAGAAACATTGTAGTTCAGAATTTTAAATTTCGCGCGTTACGTGACGACCAATAAAATTGGCACAAATTGGCACAAACATTTTTAAGCAACGATTATATAAATAAATAATATAAAAAAAAATAGAATATACGATGTAATAGGAAAAAAATATCATTATATAGTTACATTTTAAATAAATATAATTATGTACAATTTCTGAAGTCAACTTTCAAGTTCATACGAATATGATAGGAATGGATTAGGTTAAGAGTCGTTACATATGATTTTTTACCGACCGATGATATGTCTTTCCTTGTTTTTCGAATCGAAAATAACGAAGATTGTTTGCACAATTGTGCAGCAAAAAATAGCTCATGTGACTCTAACACTTGTTATTCTACGAGAATGGAATTAAATATTTGGATAAGGAATGTAGGGAATTTTAGATGAAACGTAGAGAACAAATTTCGATAATGAGAGGTAAAATGGACGTGTGATTTTAGTGTTGTGGCTTTTCAAGATTAATATAATCATAAGTTAATTAATGATAATTTTACGAGAGAAATTCTATTTGATGATCTTTATTTATATTATGTTATAATAAGAAAGTTAATTGTAGATAAATAGTTTTAAAAAAATATAGTTTTGCCAAGAAATCATAGATTTTTAGGTTAAGAAAAATCATTGATCAGAGGAAAGAAGAAAAATTAAGATTAAGGATTGAGTTCAAAAACCAAAATCATTATTATTTAATTTTTAATACATTCTATTGAAAAAATTATTCGATAAAATTTCAATATTTAATTCTACAAAAAGAAACCACATCTGTCTCAAAATTTACTGATAAAAAAATTTAATAAACATATCAAACATCAAATATTTAATTTAATTTCTACACTATCTCGAGACAAATTTTTAAAAAAAAAACCAACGGCAAGTTGTATTAATAAATTAATACATTTCACCCGATGAATATTAAAAATTTTTAAATAACCGAATGTTCTTTTCATTTCATTTGCCTGCGAAATATACTCGCCGATGGATCCCATTTTCCTCAAAACTTTTCTGCGCGACAATAAAGCAGCGAGTTATTTTGCATGATGACGTCTGCCTTCTCCCTCGACGTGCATTTCTCTCGTCGTCGTTTCCCTCTCTGCGTGCGTCTCTTTTCATCTCTCGCTTCTGCATGATTCGTCGGTGTGCTCTCGCCTAATCGCCAACAATTCACTGGCTTAACGAATTAAATGAAATAAAACGGAAGTCGAAGGCTCGGAATTGGATCCACCAATTGACCAGTGTTTTCCAACTATTTTCCAGCTGCTACCATTTTACAATATTCGAATAATTTGACGCTTGATCCCACGTGTATGTAAATTAAGACAAAATTTTTTAATCCACCAGAGGGAACTTGAATCACTGATGACCGATAGAGAAATTATGTTATTAAATTTTTTTTCTGAAAAAAGAGTTTTGTTTAACGATTATTTCTATAATTTCTTGTTAAATTATACGGTTATACGTATATATTATTAAAATAAGTATTTTAGAATTTTCTTCAAATTTTTTTTTTCCAAAATTTAGAATAATAATAAAATTAAATTTGAGAAATAAAAAACTTTTTTTATTATCATCGTCTAAATGAAAATGAATTCATTTTCTATTCGTTATTTTATTATTCTATTTCTCTATTTTCTTTTCTTTTTCTTTTTTTTTTTTTTTATTATGCATTTTTTATGCTACTCGATTGATAATCTACACGGTGGCATGGTAAACGAGCGCTATACCGATCGATTGTCGGTCAACATTAATTTTCAATGGGGCCACGAGACCAGATGACACCTCTGGAGACCTAAGTTAGACCTCAACTGAATTCGAATAAGCATGGTTGCCCATGGAGGATTAAACAAATTTAACTTGCGCCGCTTTTGAATTAATGAACGAGATGATTGTTCGTGTAGAATACGAGAAATGTAAATTAAAATAAATAAAGACGTTAAAGATAAACGTCGGATAAAAATGGCAGCAGTCTTTTTCTTTGGAATCGACTCGCAAGTTGAGAACCACTGATTGTAACCAAAAATTCGAAAAGTTATAGGCTATACTAGCTAGACCGATGGAAACTTTTCGCTTCAGAGAGGCTAGCGCTCTCTACTTTCAGGATTATAATTTTTTCAGCGCATCCGGGTGAAAATTTGCAAAAAAGCTCTTCTCAAAGCTCGATGACTGAAAACGTTTTTCCAGGAAAGTGATTTTTAGTGCAAATGTGAAAAGAAACTATGTTTTGACACGAGTGAAAAATTCCTGCTTCTATTTCACGCGCGCAATATGGAAAATTCAGCCAAAGTCATTTGAAGCAAGCTTTTCTTCCAATAAAAAGCGTTATAAAAACTATGAGATGAGAATTAAGTTTGTTAAAAAGATTGTTTTGATGCTTAAAAAGTCTTGTTACGTTTGATGTATTATGTTGTTGATTATTATGTATGTTGTTGTAAAATTTAGAATTACAATAATTATATATATATATATATGATGTTGATTTTGCAAAAAGCAAATGGAAAAATTGATACAAAAGAATGTCGATTAAAGTTTATTCATTAAATTATAAACAGACTGCGATTTTTACAAAATCAAATTATTTTATGAATATTTTTATAATACGATAGAATTTTAATAGAGATTTGCTTAATATTATAATGCGTATTATACATTGGAAATTTTGTATAAATTCATAAATATTCGCAATAATTTAATTGGACGTTCATATTAGATGAAACGAGAAAGAAAAAGAAATCACTTTTGCATCTGTCACACTGCAGCGCCATCTTATATTTGCATTTCGCTTCATAAATTTAAATCGCTTATAATTTGTATATTAATCTTTGTGTTTTTGATTTTTTAGAATCGATTCTCCAAAGGAGTTTCAATATATTAACACATATATACATATATGTCTCTATGTATTATTTCCAATGATGTAGTAGTATGTGATAAAATTTTTTGATAAATTTTTTTAGATTTTTTTTCAAATCTAAATAAAAATAATACACATGACAAAATATAATGTAATTTTCTATTCTTCATTGAAACTTTTTTTATTTTCTAAATTTTTTGTATCAGCATGAAACGCTTTGCAGTTTTTGTTTATATATATATATATATTTACAATTATTCGTCGTTCTGCAATTTCGACTGAATAACACATAAATTTCAAATAAATTTATTTATAAAATCTTATGTCGTAAATAAAAGAAGAGAAAAGGAATCTCATCGTGAAAGTGATATTTTCACATAACCTATCAAATTCAACTTATAAAAATCGTATATATGAAAGTTTAGGCACGAAATATAAAACCAATGCAATTTCACAGAGGTGCACTATAAAATTTTGCAGGCAGTCACGAAACACGTCGACTTTCGTTCGAAAGTTTTCCTCATTTCGCTTCAAAAGTAAACCGACAAATCTTTGGAAGACTTACTACAAACAGAACGTATGAAAGTTCGAATACGCATGCACCTTCAAATTCCAATCTCATTTCTGATTGAAAGAATTTTTTTGCCCAAAAGAAATCGAATATTTTTTTTTATCTAATTTGAATTATAGCATAAACATATTATTACATTCAAACATATTACATTTAAATTTATAAAAAATAAATCTTTCCTCACGTTATACGATTATATTCACGATTATATTCCCTTTTATGATTATAAAATATATATATATTTTTTTTATTGGTTAAAAAACAATAGAATGAACAAGACAAAATTTTGATTAGAATCGATAAATTCGAAATTTTACCATGCAGAACTTTTACCGTCGTTGAAATCACGTGATATTATCACTCATCACATTCGAATTTTAATATAAAGCTCTTTTACTTTTCCACGTGTAGAATTTTGATAGCATCTCGACCAACGTGTGGCACGCCATCCGCTGATCGAACATTCATGGCGACCCGATTCGTCACGTTGTAACAACTGACCGACTCGATAATGCCATGTTGGTATCGTGTAAAGCGTGATAATCAAGAATTGTTCGTACCGGTAGCGCCCCTGAGAAATTTCAAAAGCATAACTACCTAGATCGTCGTTGATTCACCATGTACTGATGCTATAAAACTTTTGTTTTGCCTTAATAAAAATCTCATTAGATCTGGTGATACTTTTAATTGAAAAAAAATTCTTTATATGCATAATTATGTATTACTTATGTAGTATGATGTAGCAACAATTATTTTAATAAGAATTGCTGTTAAGAGTTTTAATCTTTGGAAGTGATTATTGGAGATAGAAACCACTGTTGATATCATTTGTTAGTTTACTTTGCAATTCTATAAGTATATTATTTCCCAAAAATTGATTATTAATTATTTATGAAGACTAAATAATGTTAGCACTATTATATTTTGTCAAATATTTTCAATTTCCAATTTTACTATTTCTGAGAAATTGATTATTAATTATTTCTATACTGCTGTCACTGCAGTTTATTAAATAATTTTTTAATCCTATTTTTCTTTAAGAATTGATTATTTGTATAGAGGCTAATTAGTGTTGGCATCAGTTCACTAATCTTCATTTTCTAACCCTATTATTTTACAGAAAATGATTATTGATTATTTCTATGAAGGTCAAATAATGTTAACATTAGTTTGTCAAATATTAATCTTTAGTTTCCCATTTTTCCTCAGAAATTGACTATTGACTATTTGTCTGAAGGCAGTAGTATTGTCATCAGTTTGCTAAATAATACCCTTCATCTTTCAATTCTGTTTTTCTTCAGGAATTGATTATTGACTATTTCTATAAAGGTCAATCAATATTGGCATTAATTCAAATGATAATCTTCATTTTCTAACCTATCTTATTATTTCAAGACTTGATAAGACTATCTTTTAAGGCTAAAGAAAAGAAAATAAGAAAAGAAAATAAGAAATAAATTCATTCAAAAAAAGTAAAAAATAAAAAACTTAAACAGATTTCATTTTAAGCATATACACAAAAAAGAAAACCAATGACAATATCACCTATTATTCAAGACTGAATTAAACTCCTAAATATTTTCCAATTCTCCATCGTTTCACAAAACACAATTAACAAAAGAACAATATTTAAAGCCTGAAAGAAGCCAAATTACCAGAATCCCTATTCAACATTCTATCCATTGTTTTCAATAAATTTTACAACGTTAAAGTTTCGACTACCGTAAATGAACGATTCTTAACATAGAATATATAAAATACATACAAGATGAATTTTTATTTTTCATGAAAAAAAATTCCACGATTCAATGCCAATAAATCTAACTATTTTCTCCTAATAATAGCCGAAAATTGCGAAAAAAATATTGGAAAACATAACCTTCAAAAAATGAAATTTTTAAATTTGTTTCAATTATCATTTATCAGTAGACAAGATGAATATTGAATTGCAATTTCAATTCTTTTATATTTTTTATTTATACTTTTAATTTAATCTAGGAAAATGTATATTTCTAGTTTCCTATTGTAATGACGTGTAACATATCGCGCCATGTGAATTTCCTATTCTATGACGGATGACGTGAATATATGTCATGAGAATTTCTTATTCTGTGGCGAGTAATATAATATACGCATAGAAATTTTCTATTCTACAGCAGTTGATTTCGTCATGTGTATTTTCTATTATATGACAGCTGAGGTGAATATACGTGGATACGTGTCATATGGATTTCCTATTCTATGGTGGTTGACGCGTATGATTTTGTCATATGAATTTCCTGTTGTATGGCAGCTGAAGTAAACGTATGCGTCATGAGAATTTTCTATTCTATGGCGAGTGATGTGAACGTGCATGTCACGTGGGTTTCTTATTCTCTGACAGTTGATTACATTATTAACTTTTCGGAAAGACGAAACATATTCGAATTAGGTTAGATTAGGTTAGAATCCACAATTCAAATATTCTCATCAGTATACATTTTGGATTTCATTGCGTCGTTTTACAACTGTTTTTTTTTGTTTCTATTTTTTTTTTGTTGTCCATTTATCACTGAGAATTCTCTTCGATTTTTATATAGCAATGTTATATTGAATTTATTAAATTCAAGTTTATATAAAGAAAAAAAATACAAGTTTTTCTAATAAATATAATGTAAAATATATACATTGAATCGCAAACCGCAGAACTTTAATCAACGTGTAGATAATTAGAGTAGTAATTGTCTCATATGTCCATTCTCAAACCACAACTCATTAGTCATTAAATTAAAACACAGATTACGTGTAAAATAGAATTATCATCCATTATTATAATATATTTTTGTATCGTATAATTCTGTTTTCCGTAATATATAAAAGCGGGAGCCTTTATTGCACAAACGTTTCGAAGAGGTTATCGTCTAAATCTCCTTCAAACTTTAATATTGCTTGTAAGAGAAGTCGAGAGACATTTATAAAATTCTGCCTCGTCACAAATCTGAAGATACACAGAATCATTCTCGATTTTTTCTTATATATATATATATTATTTTTTTTTTTTTTTAGAGAATGAAAATTATCAGAATTCAAAGAATATTATATATAATAATAATAATAATAATAATGTAATATTTACCAATCCTAAACTTTTTTTATAGATATGGTATCTATTAATTTTTAATTATATTTAAATATCGAATAAATTCAATGTAAGGTTAGGAACGTATATTTACTGTGCAATAAAAATTCTATTGAGTTCGATATTTCACACTTACCTTCATATATATTTACTTAGATTCCCTTTGCTTTACATAAGAATTTTCCATCCAACGTGTTACAGTAAGCTTTGTGCAGATAAACTTTTGTATTAAATAGTAGTCCCAATTTGGAGTTTTACGGCAGTTAAAGCAGCAGTAAATTTTAGAGAGAGAAATTAAGAGATTTTATTGTTCCTTTCAATTGCGATAAATTTACTAACGAAGAACATTTTTAAAAAACCTTTTTGCATTTTTAACGATTCATTATTAGACATGAACAAATTTTAATAATCAAAGGAGGAAATAAATTCTTTATTGTAAAAATAATTTATTATATTCCAATATATAATTATGATACGTGAAAATAGAATTTATATATTGTTGTTAAATTGCTTAAAAAGTTAAAAGATTTTTTCAGAATTATACGTAACCTTAAAATCTTGTTTCAGTTTCAAACACCATATAATTAGAAATTATATAAGATATGATGGTCTTGTAGATAATGTTCCACCTACGTACATATATGTTTTAATAATTTTTATAAAATATTTTTCAAAATTTTTGTACTTAACATTTAACAGTTCAATTAAAATGTTTTTACACAAATTGTCAATCACAAAGATGTAATTTTAGAAATTTTATAATAAATTATATAACGTTACAATTCTCTCTTTGTAAATGAAATGAAATTAATATAAAATTTCTAATGTAACGTAAAATTAAAAGTTAAGATAAAATTAAAAAATCATAAAAATAATAAAAGCCATACAAATATGATAAGTTACAAATTTTGCATAATCAAAAATATAACATTGCCATAATTAATTTCTCTTATTAAATTATTCAAATGTTTTTAATTTCTGAATTTACTAATTATTCTGAAATATTTATAAATTCTAAATCATCATTATTGCAAATGATTTTGCTACAGGAAACCGAGCAATTACAAAATTTGTGCTATGGTTAATTAACATTTATTTAATTCGCTATTTCAGAAAAAAGAGAGAGAGAGAGAGAGAGAAGGGAGTGAATATTAAATTTTTGATAATTAAGCAGGCACCTGTTGATTTAAAGATAACATTTTGGAAATCGTTGACAAACACAAATTAAATATAATCTACGTGGACGATGATGAAATTGAAAATGCAGAACGACTGTTTTTGATATTGTTCGTGCAACGTTTTCTTCTTTTAATGCACTCAGCATTTTTCTTTAAATTGTCGCTGGGTTTTTTGAGCTGTCCTCGTCATGTCCACAGGGAAACGTCTGGCAGCAGCTTCTCTCTTTCCACTTCATCCTCGAGTTGGTCAACACAATTCCATTCACCATCACGGTGAGTCATTTATCTTTTTGTAATTTTTTTATTTATTTGATAAATTAAATTATTCAATGTACAATATATGTAAAAAAGTTAAAAATCATTTGTGAATTTGTAGCTTTTAGCTTTTTTTGTAATTTTTATTTAATCTTTATGCAAATATGTTTGAAAAAATTTATTGCTTATTGATTTTAGTTTTCAATCTATTCATCTTAAAAGATAAAAATTATAAAAAAAATTAAGAATGATTAGTTTGTTTCTTGATTATAAATATAGTTATAATAGATAAATTATTATAATTATTTATTTAAAATATAAAGTGAGAATAAATATTTAAATAATAGCTGTAAAATAATTTAGATATAAAATATTAATTAAATATTTGTAAAAATTTGATTGAAGTATTATAATTTTGTTTAGCTTAAATATAGAAAGTAAAATTTTTAAAATTGAAATTATTAGACACTGAAATTAATAGATTTTTTTATTAGAAATGTAATAAATAATATAACAAATATGATAATATACTAGAATAACATATTTTACTATTTTCTATTTTTTCTATTTTATTATTATTTTTCTACAACTTTTACAATTTTATTATTTTATTTATTACATTCCAATTAAAGAAAGAATTAATTATTAAAACGAGTTATGTTTTATTTAAACATATAAAATCGTTAAACTAAATAAATCCAATTTTATTCCTCTAAAAAGATCTCAAATTTTTCCTAAAACATTTACAACGAAAAATAAGATTACAAGGAAAAACGATAAACGAGAACGCATCAATATTTTACGTATAGTATAAGCAGGATGTACCTATAAGTTATATCAAGGATGGATAAGCAATATTGGCCATTACATTTTCCAAAGTAGTTGGCTCGAAAGTACATAGAGCTATAAAACGGTTCATTTAAACGCTGGTTGATAAGAAACTCTGGAGAAGAAAATGTCTTCCGACCGCGATTTTCTTAGTTCCATTCCAATAAACAGACGATAAAAATCTAACGTTTCACGTTCTTTTGGCACACAATAAGAAAAGATACTAATAGAGCCTTCTTCCGTTGTACTTGCAACGATATATGATCGATTATGATGATTAACGATATACCGACTGAGAAAGTAAAGAACTTGTTGCTTTGTATCGACTCGATCGGATATACAGTGTAAATATACATGTGTAGATAATGTAGATTTACATAGATTACATAGATACATGTAATCTATTTCTTTGATCTGTGTTGAATGATTGAAAACATATGTGATTTATATGTGATTTCTTGATTAAAGACAAAGGATATATAAAATATTGAAATTATAAAGTCTGAATTATTGAAATATTGAAATATAATATTTTATGAATGTAATAATTTGAAAAATTAATTAAAATTACTTCCTGGTATAATAATATTGATATAAATAGATGAATGATTTGTCGACAAATAGTACTAGTGATAATAATCAATGATTAAAACGAATAGAATCAATTGTAATTTTTCTTTAATATTATTTTGAATGATTCTAAATAATAATTTAAAATTAAAATTTGATAAAAGAATATTAACAGTTATTTAATTTTTTATTCACCAAATAATTAAAACGAAGATTTTTAATTTTTAACCGTTTCTCTTTATAAATTTAATAAAATTTTCAAATATCGATCTATATTTTATTCGAACTAATTCTGATTTTAGCTTGAATAGAATTGAATAGCACCAGAGGATCGTGCTACGAGGAATTTAATTGGCTTAGACTCATTAGTTTTGTGTCACCAACCAGGTCGATAAATCCCAACTGGTTGCTTCTTGTAAATGTAATCGAGTGTAAAATATTTGTATCATGGTATCTAACACGTGGAAAATTTCATTTAATTTAATTATAAGTCGAGAAGTTAATTATTCTTATTATTATTCTTATTATTTTATATGCATTGGATTCTTAACAATTATATGGGAATAAGTGGAATAAATTTTTCATTTTTTAGGTCAGCATTTACATCACATGACAAGCTAGCTATTCGTGACTTATGAGCATAATTATATTTCCTAACGAGTTTTATTTTAAGAAAAAAAAAAAAAGAAATTGTAAAGGAAAAATTTCTAATATAATTCTTTCACTTTAGATAATTACGATGATAATTCATGATTATGATCATTTAATCGACAGCCTATAAGCTTCAATTAGCTCATAAAATACCTAAATAACTCACTGAAGTTTCTAGCCATGTTTTGAAGTCAATCAAGTATCATAGTTGGACAAGTAGTATAAATCAATGATTTGATCAGAAATGTATACAAAGAATATAAATATACTAGTTATGTTCAGACAATAGAATAAGTCATCCATAGTATGGATTATTTGTCTATAAGTTGATACAAATCTAAGTTGTTCTAACATTTTATATTCTTACAAAATAAATTGGTAACTAATATTAGTTCTTTGATAAATCAAAAGAGATAGATTACTTGTCTAATTATAGCAAATCCATTGTCCAATCATGATTCCGGTCTATACTACTTGTTTAACTGTTGTTTTAGAACAAACTAGTTATGATTAGATAAATAGTTTGACATGATTTAGTAAGTGGATAAGTAGTACAAGTGTACGTACGGTCAGGCAAGTGAAACAAACTAGCTATGATCAAACAAGTAGTATAGACTTATTTATATTATAGTTACAATCTAAGTTATAATCTTTTACATTCTTATAGAATAAGTTTTTAATATTTAATATTAGTTCTTTAATAAATCAAAAATTATAGGAAGTCCATTATATTTGTCTAATGATTCTGTACTACTTCTTTAATTACTATTATATTTTAAAACAAACTAATCATGATTAAATAAATAATTTGACACACAATAATATCTGGATAAATTGTACTGGTTATAGACAGACAAGTAATCAAACAAATAATATAGACTATTTATATTGTTATATAATTTAAGTTGTAATCTTTTATAATCTTATAGAATAAATTAGTAATTAATATTAACAATTCAAAAGTAATGGATTACTCGTCTGATTATTATTATTTTATACTATTATGTTGTAATAATAATAATAATTGAAATGTTGCAATAATAATACGTTTTAAATTGTATTTCCAGCTACTTTATCCACCAATGCGAAATCTGTTCATTCCGGTGTTCCTAAATTGTTGGTTGGCGAAACATTCTTTGGAAAATATGTTCGTAAGTAATTGACACGTACCTTACTAAGAAATCCTTCGTTTTCATTTCATTCAATTATTGCATTTTTTTTTTCAGAACGATCTGCACAGAGCTATGCAAAAATCTCAATCAGCTTTGAGTCAACAACTTATGATCCTTAGTGCTACGTTACTGTGCCTTGTCTTTACTAGGTGAGTAGAAAATAATTGTTATTAAATTTTATACGTGTGAAATGCAGTAAAATTAGAAAAATGAAATGTTTTTTGATAAAATATTTTTTACTTTCTCTCTCTCTCTCTC